TATATATATATATATATATATATATATATATATATATATATATATATATAGTTTATAGGCCACAAAACTAAAAAAGAAACCATGAGATAGCAGGAAGAGCTCTTAGTGGGAAATAGAGAGGATGACTGATAAGTTGTAATAACTAGGAATGGGGGAGTAATGGGGAAAACAGAAGGAAGAAGGAAAGGCGTGAGAAGACCCAGGAGAGCAAAGTGGAATGCTAACACCAACCTAGGGGGCTGAAGAAGTGGTTCAGGTTAGCAGGGCTCACTGCTTTTGCAAAGGACTTGGTGTTCAACCCCAGCATCCACACTGGGCCTGTCCTAACCACCAGTAACTCCAGCTCCAGAAGATTTCACACTTTTTTTCTGGCCTTCACAAGGACTATTCTTATGTGCATACTGACACATACACACATCTCTAAAAATTAAAAAGTTATGAACTTAAAAAGTTACTGTGCATGTTAAGCTAATTTTTTTTAAAAAAATGAAATCTACATTTTAGTGAGATTATACTAATCTGTCTATCACATCCTAGAACAGTCTCCAGCTGCTAACTTCTTTGGCTTTACTAGTTCTGTTCACACCTTGTTTGGCTTTCTTTCTGGTCTGCATCTTTGCCAGGCTCTCTTCTTCTGCCTATTTCTGTAACACTAGTTTTCTGGTGTGTCCAATCCCCTGTCTCATCAACCTTGATGCTTTCCTTTTCCTTCCTCTCAGACTTAAAATACACCTGAATGCTGATGACCCCTGATTTCAGCCTGACCTCTATCAGAAGCCTCTTCCTTTCCTAGCTACCTACACAGGGCTGAATGTAGATATTACCAGCACTGTAACTTCACAGACATTAAAGCCTAATAATTACTGTATGTATGTGTATATACACAAATCACAAATATATATGCATATATCTATAGATATCTATCCATATATATGTATGTATATATATCCTTGTATTATTTCTCCTTGCAAATAGCAACATGGCATGTCTTGTGCCACCCAGAAAACTTAGAACCACCTTTCTTCCACCTTCCTTTAAGGGCTTACTAACCCATCTGCAAATTCTAAATGTATCTGAAGTGATCTCAGACTCTAGGCTTCCTCAGTTGAGACCCACTTTGTTCCACCTTGTAGAAAAAGAGTTCTCTCACTGTTAAATCACTCCTATTTGTCTTGCAAAGAAGTATCAGAGTGACCTTTCTGAGGACACTTAAAACCAAACCTTATGATCTGCCCTGGCTTTAACACCTTTAATCATTTTCCAAACAATAGTCACCTTCAGAAGTTCTGTCTCCCTGGGCCTGGAGCCTGGGGTGGGAGGCCTTGCTCCAGCACCGGCAATGCAGCCACACCTAACTTCTCCATGTTCCCAGGGCACTCATGTACCCTGACACTTTCCTGACCTCTTCACTTACTTCTGTTTGTGGAATGCTCTTCTCCTTCCCCTCCCTCACCCTTATTTGCCTGTGTCCTTCATCCTCCTGAGTTCTGCACTGAAATCTGTACCCTCAGCACCTTCTAAGCCTTTTATGGCTTTTACAAAACTATGTCACAGCATGGAGGCATTCCACAAATCCAACTATGGTAGTAGTCTTCCTAACTGTAGACTTTGGACGATGGGCTGGATTGCCTTCTGAAACATGATTTTTTTTCAACGACATCTAACAAAAAGTGTATAGTTCTAAATATGATTTTAGTAAGGCTGTCTTTTACTATGTCTTGCTTTGGTGGCAGTGGAAATAGACAAATATTTTTTATGCTTTCAATACTGACACTATTAATAAATCCTGGATAGTTTATTCTTAGAGCTTGATACCCTAAAAGCCAGAATCTGAACATGAAAGAAAGAAAGGAAGGAAGGAAGGAAGGAAGGAAGGAAGGAAGGAAGGAAGGAAGGAAGGAAAGGAGGAAGGAAAGAGCCTTAGTAGACTAGGTTCTCAGCCACGAAAATGAGATTTCTAAGTATCACTCCATACTCCCACATACACTGACTCAGGCTGGGTTGCCAGTGAAGTAACTTAAGGTTAATTACCTAGTCAGCCTTGAAGGCTTTAACAGTTCTGCAGGGTCCTACTGGTCCTGTAGGGTCTTTTTTCAGTGGTTAAAACAACTGCTGGAGGCAGGGTTCCTGGAGGCAAAATCTCCCCTTGTGAAGGCTAGGGCAGGCGGCGAAGAGTCGCGTTCTGAGCCTGCCTCCTCCAACCTCAGCCTTCCGTTTGAAGCATCTCGCATCCCTAACCAAGTCCAGAGTTCTCTCCATTGTGTTCCCTTGGCTTCTGGGCGGTGAGACCGTCCCCGGTGGACGCCTGGCCAGGTCGTGCAGCATTGTGAGGGTCTCGGAGGAGCCCTCCAGCCCCAACTCCCGGTGGCCGGGACCTAAAGAAAAGCAATGTGTCCTGTGATGCAACCTGATCCCAGCCCCACCGAGGGTCTTGTGTGAGGAGCTCTGGGTCGCTGGACGCGAATGGATGGGAGAGAGGCAGCGAGGGAACAAGTGGTGTGTGTGTGTGTGTGTGTGTGTGTGTGTGTGTGTGTGTG